ACATTCTAACGAAGTTTTTTTATGAATTGATACATATCTAATTTGTTGATACCTCTTAAAGTGAGAGAAGGTAAAGAAAGCTCCTGAGATTGTGCTTGTCTTGATCCAGAAAGTCTTGGCACACTGACTTGCTAAGATGAATGAGTTTGGCATTTGGCTATAATCTGAGAATGTTCCGAATTTAGTAGATTGGGGGTTGTTTGTGTTCCCAGGTTAATTGCTTATTTAGCTGGCATTCATTTGGGTCCGCTAGTCCATTTGTTAATTCTGAAAGTTGTTGGACATTTGTTTAATGAAAACAAATATATTTGGAGAAATCCAGCTTCCCACGTAGCCACATTAGTAGGAATTAAGTAGGTACAAAGTAATAGTTTAAGAAATGATAGTCTTTTGTATGGCAATATAAAAGCAAAATGTCTTTTAGAAGGAACAATTCAAATTAATTGATTAATTTGTAAAGTCTGTTACTCTCTTTTGGCCAAATAGTTGTGTATCTCTGATAATATAAATGAGGTAAAGAGGTAATTAAGACATTTATTTAATATTTGTGTGACAACTGTGGAAGATATGTAAGTGTTATTTTCCTATTGATCATAAAATAAGAGAGATTTGAAAACATTTTGATTAGAATCACTTAGACTTTTCTGTCCCTATATGAAGTGTACCAGATTGAGGCATTTTCCTAGTAAATACATGAAGTCTTATTTAATTAATTATTATGCTTGAAGACAATACTAAAACTGTTTCTCATGGTGTTTCTGGCCTTCAGTAATTTAAGGTTTTTATTTTGATGATGTGGTTTTTGTTTTCAGAGACTGTATTTACCATCTAGAAGCATATCAAGCTCATCACAAAAATGTATACAAAACAGCAGCTTAATTTAACTTGAGATTCAATATTGGCCCCTTTACCTAAAGCACCTAATTTTTGAGTACCAGTTGTGACCATCTATTGACACATGCCAGGAGTATATGCTAGTTTTTGTAACGAGAGGATAAATAAAAGGGCTCTTAGAATTATTAGACAATATTTGCTTTTTGACTTTTTCCAGAGAAAAATGAAGACAAGACTTTGTTCTATTTCATCAAGTCCTTGACACCTCCTCCCAGCTGGTCAGGTTCTTTTCATGTGGCATTTAAACCTTGAGTTGTTGTGAGTCAACAAATGGACAACAGCAAATGTTCAGCCATCTTATTGGTGTTAAGCCTAGCAAATAGGCAAAGTATATGAATACACCAAATGCATAAACAAGTTTTCCTGAGCCAAGGATTCCAAATAAGCCCAACAGCTGCCAGTTATGTCCTTAAGAATAGAAGTGCCCCTCCTCATCCTCTAATCTGTTATTGCCCCAGATTGGGAAATGTCAGCTGTAAGATTTATAGATTTAGGGCTCTGGTATAACAAGTTGCCTCTTAGAACTTTTCAGCTCTGAGAGCTTCTTCTTAGCCAGCTAAACAGAGATATAGAAACATATTTATGGTTTCCATATATAGTTCTTGAGTTATTTACAACATCAATGGTGGGCTTAAATATATATATATACACACACACACACATTATTACATATAAATTACACATACATACACATTATAACATAAATTACACATACACACACACACACACATCTCTATCTGTATCTCCCTAAGACATTGATACAAATACTCATCAGTAAACCATGATAATTTTCAGAAGAGGCTGCCTTTGACTGGTAAACTCATATTGGTACCTGGAACACAAAACTCCTAGAGGTACGCTAGTTTTATAGTCTGAGCTTATTAAGCAATACCCTTAGGGTAATGAAAATCAGTTCCTCCTCTGCTCCCTAATAACATCAGTCCTTTTTGTATCTGTACGATTTTTCTCTTATTGTTCTCCTCCAAATTTCCCCCTTAAAATTGTGGCATTGGAAATAATGGTTTTATGTTTTGGGGTACTGTTACTTTCTAATTGAAATTGAATATCTATGGATCAGTGCTGAACTTGATATGAGAAACATTTCCTGGTAAATCAATAAAACCAGCTTTATGTTTCCCTACAGATAATCAAGTGGCAGGTAGAAGGGACATCTGACCGAGTTGCTCCTCTAACTGCTTTTGATCAAAAGAAATTGGTAAACCACTCAGTCTATAAATCTTTTTTTCTGTGATTCTGTAGTGTCAGGACAACATTTCCATGGGTACTTTACTTATACGGAGAAACAAAACCTAAATCTCGAACTGCCATTTATAAAACCCACAAACTCCTGGGCTGTCATTTGGGTTGCAGACTTGAAGCTCCCTTTCTGGTTGTGTTCTCTGGAGTGGGTGAATGCCTGTCTGATGGGGATGCATTTTAAAGGCAAGACAGATTTAAGGGTATAATTTAGTGACATTTTGCTGACTGCATTTCTCTCTACATGCATGTCTCTTCATATATTTCACTATCTTACCAATACTCAGTTACCTCAGCCTACTTGAGGCAGGCTCCACAATTTTGGGACTGTTTCTTATATACATAATGACTCAATAAAGGTGTCTCATTACAACATTAGTCATTCTGTTAACTTGTGCTATTTTTTGACTGTGTATATAAATCGGTGTATATTTAACAAGTGAGCTGACCAAATGCCATTAAATGAGTTGTCCTTATTTTGGTTTTTTTCCTGCTCCAATTTTAAGTTTTCAAAGAAATCCAGCATGTAACTACCACTTTTAAGTCTCCACTTTTTAATTTTGAATACCAAATATGGCAGAGTTATTCAGGTGGCCAAGTAGACTTTTTCTGACCTTGAATGTGGTTTACTGGTATTACACTTAAAAAAAAAAAAAGACAAAAAGTGGATGTCAGTATTTGCTGTTTTAGGATAGCATAAGACTTCTAAATTTCCCAAAGATCATTTTAAAAGTCTGATATGAAGCTGTCTGACATCTACATTTTTAGCATCGTCCCCATATTCGTATTTAAGGCATCATCCCCGTATTCGTATCTAAGGCGTCATCCCCATATTCGTATTTAAGTGACCCTGGAACACAATGCAGAGAGATAGGTCACTGTGGTTTAATCTTTGGACACTTCATATCTGACAGACACCAGCCTCTGTGGTTTATTTTATATTGTTCCTTAAAACTAGAAATAAAATTCTCTTAAATCTGATGATAGGGGAATGTTTACGAAGATAGTTTTCCTTCCATTTGCACAGTTTCAAAGCTGGAGCTAAAACATAACACATGGGATTAAAAAAAAAAAAAATCTGTCATCCAAAAAGTAATTCATGGCACTGTTAAGGTTGAAGTAACCTCAGGGCCTCATGTTCTGTGGTGGAATGTGCATCAAGGTGTATCCCTTTTATTAGGAACATATTATATCCATGTACTTTAATATGAATGGCAGATACCAATTAGCAGAGGCTTATTGGGGAAAAAGAATAATTTTTGTGTGTGCCTGTACATGTAGGCGAAGGCATTATGAGTTGTAGGTTTCCACAGCACAACCCAAAATTCAAAGGAGATGCCTTTTAAAAAATATAGTGGTGATGGAGTCTGGGTAAGAAAATCCTGTGTTGAAAGTTGAGCAGACCACAGTCATTTATATGCAGTCAAAGAGCTTTTGGTACTGCAATCTAGGGCATATAGTCTTATTACAAAGCCCTTTAAAATCAATTAAAAAAAAATGAAAACATCCTTAAAAATGTTGTAGCATTGAGTTCATTTTTTTTTTAAATCTATTTTCAATTACATTATTCCATTTAAATGTACCACAATGGCTTTTATTTAAAAGATACTTCTCTTCTATGTATATATTCACAGCTGTCAGAAATATGTGTCATTCTTTGTCTTACAAATCCCTGTTCTCAGCCATTTCAGAGCCTAATCCTTGAGTCGGCCATTTTGCTGAAAGGCAGTTAAAGAAACAGACTGTCAGCCAGGTCTGGTTCTTGCTGAAGAAGCGTCATTTCTGTACCCAATGTGAGCTTTAGTTCCAGATTTTTGAATGATGTAAAAATTAAGGTCAGGGAATCAAATATAAAAAATACATCTTGCAGGCAGAGACTTCATTAGCATCCACTCATCAGTCTCCCAAATCTAGGAGCTGGGAGACCATTGTACTGTTATCCTGCTGATATTGAGTTGATAGCAAGTTTAATGGAACAGGCTGGCAGTTGTGAAGGGCAGCTGATAATGATGGTGCAAGCTCAACGAAAAAGTTGAGTAGAATCTGCAGGAGGTGTTTTCTATCATTTGGCCTTGTTCTGTTGGCTGTTGGCATTTGCTTGGCAAGAGGGAGGTGTTCTTATCTCCCCAGCTAGAGAGATTTTAAATATGCTTAAAAATACCGAGTGTGGGCTTCTGTTACTGCCTCTTCTTAACAAGACCAGTGGAAGCAGGGCAATTGTGTATTGAATAGGAAAATCCACTCAAACTGATAACATTCAGGTAAACCTGAAAACAGTTTGCATTTTCTGGTAATTAAATTAAAAGAAGGCGTTGACTATCAGAAGCCCTTTTTCCTCATGTAGTAAATGAGCACATAATCTTACAAAATAAGGTAACCTCAAATATTTTTTTCTTCCGGATTAATGATATGTTTTGATTTTTAAACTTCTATGTAAAGTTTGATGAGTGCTTTTATATAATTAGGTAGCATCTTAAAACACATGATTGGCCATGTTTCTGCCTTGCAGAGTTTATGAGAGGAAAGTTGGCCAAACAACAGGGCTAATTTTACTAATTAAAGTCGTGCTGCCCAAGTGGGTTAACATGATATAGATGTTTGGTTTTAATAGAGCTTGGAAAGGGTACTGAGTCCTAAAATGTTCTGTTTGGAAAGCTTTGGTCTATAAAATTTGCCTTTAACACGGCTGATGACCCTTAATTAGAATGATAAACTATACTTGCTGGTGTGATGTCTTTTTGAGAAGAAGCAATACCGGTGTGCCTAAGTGTCGTCGTTTTTAGTGTATTAAGATACCTTTTTTCTGGGCATGGCATTTCTGAGTACCTGTCTTCTCTGCCCTGTTTTAGGTGTGAATCATGGCAATACAGTGAAAGACGGTGATTTACTGCTTTTGAGGGCATGCATGGATATGATTAACGGATGGAAGTGCAGGACTCCAAGATTTACTTCTTTCCCTTTCCAGCAGAGTTACCTGAGAGGAGTGAGTAATGGGATAATTTGTAATACCACAGGCCCCTTTTCAGGAGACCAGTAATCAAAACAGGAAGATGAAATTGACAAGATTTCAACTGGAAGAATACAACTTTTGATACTTTCTGGGTATACCTCTTAATTGCAAGCAGGAGTCTTCAGAGTTGTCCTGTTTTTGTTTTTTTTCCCCATGGAGATTTCCTTCCTTCCTTCCTTCCTTCCTTCCTTCCTTCCTTCCTTCCTTCCTTCCTTCCT